ATGATTGTTTGTACACTATGCTGTATTTTTGAGCTACAAATCATAACAAGGACAGCAACACTATTGTATGTATTTCAAAGGAAATATATTCAAAACAAAAGGCTTCAGATCACTGATGACATTGCTAGATTAAACCTCAGTGAAAACAGTGCTAATAAAGAACATGTAGAGACACTAAAACCACAACTTCACCCTTGTAGGCTTACGGTAAAAAGAAAAAAAATAGATTCCCATAGCATTTTGTTATCAAAGAACAACTTTATATTTTTTCTTTCTGACAAAACACAATACAGTACAGCAATATACAGTATGTTTGATTCAGTAGATTCACTGATTAAAACTATGTGTTTCTACAAGTATACAGCACATGCAATTATTCAGTTACTGAACCACATAAGTGGCAAAAGATGAAACCAAAAAGCCATACAAAAGCTTTCAACAAAAGCCTTACACTTGTACATATTTTAAGGAATTTACTATTAAGTGAATTCCTTACCACAAAGACAGATTATAATCATTTCTTAAGACTCTGTTTTGAGTAGAACATCTAGGGCTACGTATGTAATGCCAGTTCCCTGAGAAAGGGAACAAGATGCTGAGTCAGCATAACCCGGTGTCTGATGCATGTGTACAAACCTTTTTGCTCTTCTCCCCAGGAACTCGTTCCTGGAAAGGGCACAAATTATTTATGAGGAGCTGAAGAGACTGAAAAAAGGGGGCAAGAGCTTGGGCCTCGCCCCCTTTTTTCATTCTCCTCTTTCTTTGCCACACCCACAGCGCCCCGATCTGTGTATGGCTTTCTCCTATTGTGCTGCTCTCATCTTCTGCTCTTCTCCCCAGGAACTCGTTCCAAGAGCCTGAACCCAGCGACGGATATACTTCCAGAAGGCAGCCGACTGCATTCTCGCCTCTCTAAACCTGTCCACCACCATCTCAACGGCAGTACCAATCAGACCAGAGGGCAAGACAGGGGCATTAAGGAGGAAAGCTTTATCTAACTCCTTGATCCCTGACAAATGAAGCAAGAGATGTCTCTTCGTTGCCACCATAGCAGCCATAGACCGGCCAATAGAGCGGGCCACCTGCTTGGTGGCACAGAGAGCTAGATCTGTGGCTATGCACAGTTCAGAGGTCGCCTCAGGAAAGGTCTTTGAGCAGATCTTCCTGGTAAGCTTGCAATACTACCATAGTTTTCAGAGCTCCACCAGTCTGCCCAGCTGCCGCATACTCTCTGCCCACCAACCTCAATGTTGTCTGACTTGATTTAGAGGGCAAAACGGGAGCCTTCAGTGAGGAGGATGTCCCCGCGGAAAGGTAATTCGCTAAATTCCATTCCACCCAAGGCATCCACTCATAACCCTGCTGGCTCAGCCCCTCTGCATTTGAATAACTAAAAGCTGAACCACACGGGCAGAGTATGGATGTCTACACGCACCTGACACCTAAGTGTGCAGGTCTGGGAGAAAAGAAAGTCTCATCGGAGCTGCACACTTGTGCATCTAAATGACCTTCCGCAGTATCTTGCATTGAGCCGGAAAAGTTTAAACTCAATCTGGCTGTGGCACAAGTCATAAGTTTCACCAGCTCATTGTATTAAGTGGTTTGCTGCATTGAGCAGGAAACAGCTCTATTAAATATATCCATTTCTACTGACACCACGTCTATAATATCAGAAACACAGACAAGCAATGAGTCCTCGCTTTCCGATGAAGAAACCGCTGTCGGGCTTCCACTTCTGTAACAAAGACAATGGAGCTCCTTGACCAGCTCCATCTGAGATTCACATGATTCCCTGCCTCAGCAACGCAGAGCTAGAGCCAATGAATGCATCCAGTCCCCTCGAGGGCTGAACACGCATGCTCCGCTCTCAGACAAATAACACACGGCTCATGACTATGGAGGAACACAGTGCTTTAACCCCTTTACGTTGGTGCCCTTCGTATACACTGGGGTGCACCTTGCGACATCCTCGCACTGCGTCAGCCATTGTATGGCGTGTTTGCACACATGCCTCAGACACATAGGTTCCACAAGAGCGCATCCTGATAGCGTGAGCAGCTGATGCAGTTTAGAAGTTCCCTCAAAAGGGAACATTGAATTTGTGCTAGTGGCAGGGATTTTAATCCATCTGCAGGGATGAGCAAACTCGGTCCTGGAGGGCCACTGTCCTGCAGAGTTTAGATCCAAACATGATAAAACTCACCTGCCTGTAGCCTTCTAGTAATCCTGAAGACAATGATTAGCTGTTTCAGGTGTGTTTGATTAGGGTTGGAGCTAAACTCTGCAGGACAGCGGTCCTCCAGGACAGAGTTTGCCCATGCCTGATCTAGTGACTCAAATATATTTTAATCAGTCGCTAAAGTGATTCGTTCAGATTCCAGATTCAGATACCATTTCTCCTTGTTGTGAACCTGATTGTCTAGCATGTCAAACTGAATGAATGACATGTAAGCTCCTCTAGTTCAATCAGTCTGCAGATCTTTGTTCAAGATGCCACAGTTCATTCAGTTCATTTACAAACATATCGAACCAATTAAATGCTCATTCACAGCCCATACTATAATGTTTTTTGCTTGTGCAGTTAGTCTTTGAAAGCAGGAAAGTGGTTTCACGCTTCAAAAAGGATAGATGAAAAATATGATGCAGTGCATTGAGGAGCAACTTGGTCATTTGACAGTTTTTTCCAAAAACACATGAAAAACTTTGCTATAATTGCCGTACTGTACCATACAATGCATTACTGTAAAATGGGAAAAATGTGTGCAAGTATGAAAATACAGTATGAATGCACTACATCCTTTGATCAAGTAGATTTGACCACATTTAAATAAATAAATGGATTATATTAAGCAGCTGGTTATTCTTCAGCAATGAAAAGTATGCTTTAACACATTCCAGAGACTTGTGGTTGGGTCAGTCTTTCATAACCTACCGCACACTTTTACTGTAAGTTCTGCCGACCTCACTGGTTTCAGCTAATGTCAGAGAATGGTAAATCTAACTGCATTAACCCTGTTGATTTTTCTCAACCAGCAGGATGCCACAGCACTAACATCCAGATGAGGATGAATCGCCAGTCTCATCTCAGGCAAAGACAGAAGTCAAGACAAAACCTCAAAAGCCAAGATGTAAGCAATGACCAAGAACAAGAAGCTTCAAGGTCAAGGTCTGACTAAAATCAAAAGGTTTGGAGCAGCGAACAGACCGAGGTCAGAGTAGTTCACTCATGCCTCAAAACTCCTGGTCGATCAACATATAGTATAAATTCATTTCAACTGCTTTTGAAGACCAAACATCTAAAATGTCTGGCATGAGAGCGTACTTCTTTTGGGTTAAATTTGAACTGTAAGTTATAGGCTACTAGTCAAACAAATTGAAAGGTTCGGGATGTCTAAAAACAACAAAAGTGAAGGTCATTCACTTACAATTATAGAATAATTACACAATGCATGGTATAACTTGGATGTATGCACACTGAATTCTTAATCACATGGTTTATAGATAAATGAGTGATAAAAATGTGGATCCTGCTGACAATTGTATGTTCTGAACTGAATAAAAATGTCTGTAATTTTTTTCTTGAACTCTCCTGCCGGTCTCAATAAAGGGGTCAGCGTATGTTTGTAGGTTTTTTATTTTCTTCTTCTTTATTATTTCAGGAAAATGTGAATGAAAAGAAAAAAGGAAGAAGAAAATTATACATTGAGAATTCACATAATTAGCATTTACAAACATTTGGGTAGATGTATTATCCATCTGAAAACCAGACAGAATGGTCTGGCAGTGGTTACTCAAACAGCTATTGTGGGAAAGAAATGAATGCTGACTGCATAAGGTAGTGTTATCTATCTGACACATGGAAATCTTTCCATGTTCCAACCCTCATTACTTTATACAAAGTACGAATGTTTTATGCTTGATAAATGTATTTGATTGTGCGCTTTAATACTTCGTTTTTAAGTATTAAACTTAATAATTCTGTTTAGGTTCCACAGAGTTTGGCATTTTGCCCACCAAGCATTTTTCTTAAAGTAAAACAAGAGTTTGAAGCCTTAACCCGTCTTAGTGAATATACTCTCATTTTATACAGCATTTTAAAAGAAGATATACTACATGATGAAGCAGTTTCTTTGTCTCAGTTGCTTTTATTGTTTCCCTCTGCATTCTCAAAAATTATTTATTGCGGGATAACACATAATGATGGTTAATGTGTTCTGAATTTCAGTAACAATAATGGCTGTTATGTTGTCAATTATGCATCTAAACGTTATACTGTGGAGAAAGAAACTGACTGCTGGAGTGCATAGACACCACCTGTCCAATGACTTTTAAAAAATTATTATTTTCAGACGTCTGTGCCACAGCAATCCCATAAGCAGACTCTTTCAAGATTGTTTCTTGAAGGAATTCCGAGTTGGCCATGAAGTCTCATCTGTAGTTCTCATTCATGTGGATGGTATCTTTTCTGGCTATCACTGCTTCTTGAGGAATTTTAAATGGGCTACCTCAGGCCAACTTTTGTTTTGCCTCTTTAAAATAATGGTTTTTTTTTTTTTTTTTAAGCAAAATTTTTCTGGTTTGACTGCAATACCTGGAAGTGCCATCACACCTAGCGTTATTCCAGCTTTTTAGGCTAGTGGAACAACATGGCATTTCAACAGGTCTGCATGCAGTGGAGATAACAGGACAAAGAATACAGTAAATAAATACATATAAAACATATATATTTCCAAATGGTAATCTACAAATGTGAGAAGTAACGAAATAAAGTAAGTTGTGAAATGCTATGAAGATAGTCCTTATCCAGTCCTCTGTCAATCCATGGGTGACTCTCCTCTGGTAAACCCCTGTTCCATCACCATCATCCCGGTGTTGTGTGATCCGTCAGATACACCTTTGCTCTAAGCTTTCCGGGGAACGGTGTCAAACTTTTGAAGCTCTCATCAAAATAATGGGCGGATCTTTCCAAGACTAGTGATTTTCCCGTGTTCATTTCTTTTTCCTCACGGGTCAGGTTTAGTCCACACGTCCAACCCTCCTAAAGACTTGAGCTCTTCAGGGAACAAACGGGTTTCCTTTTTTTCACGAGAGCCCGTTTACCTTCAGTCTGAGAGACTGCTGGGCGGAGGGACTAAGAAGTTTGTTTTCAACGAAAACCAATTGATTAGTTTTTTTTTTTTTTGCTCATGGCAGTGCAGAAATAAATAACAATAATCTGGATTGTGGAATAGGAACGAATTTAAAATAAGACACAGTTGAGGGCGCCGGTCATGGATAAGGAAAGGTGGTCCACGAGATGGAAAACGAAAAAGTGGCTCAGGAACTCCGTTTTAAGTGCAATCTTCAGTCTGACTTTTGTCCTACAGGCAACACATGTGAGAGCAGGTAAGGAAAGGTTGAGGAGCATCGTCGCGAGCTAAGTGATGCCATCCTCAGTATAGACTGTGTAGCTACAAATGTAAGGAACTTAAACTGTTTGAGTGCATTTTAGCGTCAAAATATATTTAAAACACCGTATATACCGGCTATATATTGCGAAATGTATTGGCTGCATCTCAAAACCTGCTGAGCTGCCTACCTAGGCAGCATTTTTGGGTAGCTATCATAGACGCGTTTCGGGGTAAAAACGCATTTGTAAACCTGAATGCTGATAAAGAGTATTTAAAATCATATTTTTATGTGGTATCATAATGCCCAAAATGTTTGATGAGAAAAAAGTTGATGAGAATAAAAACTAACTCGTTGAGTAGTTGGGTGAAATCAGTGGCGTAAGTTGTGATGATAATTGCATTATCTTCGACATGCAGTATTTGATGTTTATTTTGAAAAATATTTAGATTTTATTATTTATAGATGTACTTCTAGTAGCCTACATTGATGCAGCAATTGAAATTAGACATGGAAGAGTCTATCAAGACTTTTATTTTTAAGGTGTGCAGCCTACAGGTATCAGAGTGGTATGGTATGCCAGAAAAAAAAAATCCTTTTTAGCAAAATTTTTATATATATTTTAAATACCCAGTTAATTAATATCATTGGTGACATTGATCTTCAAAGTTTTACATATAGACATTTTTTTTAATGTAGGCTTTTTCACTGAATAGAATGATTAAGTAAATAGCAGAAAGTAGTCTTCCCTAATTTGGTAACTATTATAGTTGACCAGTTCATGAGACAGCATTCATGGAACTGCACTACCCTGCACACACCAGCGAGGCACTCGAGTGCCCAGAATTAGATTTTGAAATTGTATTACTCAGACCGAGAGAGATACCGTTTCTCCACACTATCCCAGTCCACACTAAAGACCGGTCTACTGTCAGAAAGCTACTGTAGAGGTGCTCTCTGAATTTGACACATTGTCTCCTTTTAAAGTGGACACTTAAGTATTTTAATTAAAGTGGCCCTATCCATAATTTATACATTACGTCCTCTTGTATAGCCTGCTTTAAAAGAAATTAAATCAAAATTCAGGCATTATATCCTTCTACCTCACCTGTGAGGATCGCAAATAGTTTTATACATTGTCTTTCTAATAGTATTTTAAAGGGCCTGGTCTCTCCTACTATAAGGAAATACAAAATATAACAATTACCCTGTAAAGTGATAAATAGTATATTCCTTTGTTGTTGTTCTGATGGCCATTTCAGATATGTAACATACCTCTTTCAAAATGGCTGCTTGATAATGTCTTCACATTGCACATCTGCAGGCTAATTTTGGAGGTGGGGGTATTTTAAAGTGAGCTTTCACATTTTTGGTTTAATAATCTTGACCACAACTGCATTCCATGCATGAAAGCTACCTTTTGGCTCTTGTTTTCTGGATTGTTTATTTGAACTGAAATCCATATAAGACATCTCTTACAGCAGTTCACAAAGTCCACATGAGAGATTGGCCACACCCACTGAGATAACCAATGATTCAACCAATGAGGATGTAGGGCCTTTCTTTTTGCATTTGATGTTTGTCACGGATAGGGATGATGTCAAGTGCATGGACATTTCATTGCTTATTGGATCAGATTGAATCTTATGATTTTTTTGACTGGGGAGTAGATGTCGTGTCTCTTGTGTATTTTGACATTTCTGCCAGATTTCTTCAAGGTTTTTTGTAATTTCAGAGGCTGAATTACACAGACGATAAAATATTTTCTGCTAAATTCTTTTGTCATATTTTATTGTGAAAAGTCTGCCGTGTCATTATCCATGACACTGCCCCTCCCCAAGTAGAATAAATGGAAAATACAAAGAATAAAATCATCCAGCACTTTTAATTGTGGATGTGCATTAGGAGCAATGTGATTATTTGCTGCATTAATGGATTTTGGATACTGACATTTTTTAAGAGCTTCTGTGAATGGGGGGGGGGGGGGGGGGGGTTTGGGGTTCTATTCCTGCCAATTCTCCACATCTGGAATATATGAGGCCTTTAGGTATGCAGTAATGCTGAGAGACATTCTGAAGAGCACAAAGAGACCTTTAGTTTAGAGTTTAGAAAAGAAAAAAAACAGTAGCACTGCAAGAGGCTCGTAAGACTTACAGAGTATTACCCTCTCCTTTAAGAGTTGGATGAGTTTTACTAAGACTTTTTTTTTTTTTTACATCTCGTTTAGAATGATAATGCTGAGGGCTGCCCTTTGTTTTGTCAGTGGGGGTTACGCTGAATGGAAACTCTTAACAGACTGATTTGACAAAGCTACATTAGGGCCTGACCACATCATTAAGCTCACAAACGTGCACGGATGTAGACATGCTGAGCTTTATTGTGTGCAGCTGTTTTAAAGTTATCAAGAAAATCAGGATGTTCCAGGCAAATATTTCAGATTTTTTTTGTAATAAACATTAATAAAATCTTTAATGATTCCTATATGGGCCACTATTAAAAAATATGAAGCATCCTGCACATACACTACTGTTCAAAAGTTTGGGGTCATAAGATTTGTTCATGTGTTTGAAAGAAGTTTTCTCACCAAGGCTGCATGGTGTTTTTAGAAATACAGTAAAATATTGTTAAATATTATTTAATTTTTTTTATTTTTAATATTATAAAATATAATTTAATAAGTTGTTTTAGCAACTATTACTCAAGCAATACTCATGTAGTGTCACATGATCCTTCAGAAATCATTAAAATATGCTGATTTGGTGCTCAATAAACCATTCTTATTATCAATGTTGTGGAAACCATATTTTTTTCAGGATTATTTTATCAATAGAAAGTTTAAAAGAACAGCATTTATTTGAAAAAAACAAAATATTTTATATGTATTTACATTCACTCTACATAAATTGAATGCATCGTTGCTAGATAAATAGAAGTATTTATTTCATAAAAAAATAAAATCTTACTGAGCTCAAACCTTTGAACAAAAATAGTCTCTTTATCTCAGAGTAGAAGTTTGTGTTTTCAGTGCATTAGGACTTAGTTGGTGGTACATTGAGGCAAAGTTATCTGTAGGCTGTGCCATGCCGACACCATAATGTGTTCAGCATGTTCAGTAACCCTAAAAAAGCACCACCCTTCAGCTCCTGGCCACATATGTGGAACAGGAACCACCGGATCAGCACTTCCTGCACGCGCTTACCATATGGTTACAGAAAATAATGGGGAAAAGGGTCAAATTTGACTTAAATTTAACTTATTTTACAGAAAGTATAAAGAGAAGGAATTTAATAATATTTTGGTTCTGCTCTTGACCTTAAAATGAAATAAAATATAATTAAATGTAACTGTGACGACCAAGCGTCTGAGTGACTTTTCCACTGTCTATTTTTAACAAACGCAGCTCATCGTCCTACAATGGTTTTACTGGTTTTATTGTGCTTTACACACAGTGTTATAGGGCTGATCTATCAAAAAATACTTCAGTATAATTCTTCTAAAGTGCTTTCCCAGGCTTAGTTGAGTGGGACAGGGTGGAAAATGAGCCCTTTTGTGATGTCAAAGCATATGAAAATAAAACCCCGATTTGAATCCAACACTAAGGAGTCTAGAGAGAGAGTAATGAGTCTTAGCAAATAGTCATTCTTGTTTGTATGGTTTATTGTTTTTAGGCCTTTGAAAGGGATACTTCCTGTCTGCTGCCTGACCAGCAGACAAATATGTCTATTTGACCTGACTCAGAAGTTTTTGTAGTCTCTGGTAGCGGGGGAGTAAGAATAGGAGTGTTTATGTGCTAGTCATCCATTCAGCCTCTGTTCCTATTCCCTTAAACCTCTTGAGATTCAGAGACTTCACACAACTCGGCATCCTCAACCACAACGTTCGTAGTGGTGATGACAAACAGATGCGTCTTAGGGACACACAGTTGTGTACGGATAATGATGGATGTTAGTAACCCAGCTGATACTCTTATCTCCCTGACCTCGCTTACATCCTCATTCATCAGTCTCGAGTGAGGCCGGAACTTTTCCTTTTCAAGGCATCAAAGACGAAGTCTAAAAGACTCAAGCAGAGCCATAAATCAGTGTGACATTTCAGTGCTGCTCAGAGTCCACTTTACAGTACCAGCCTCTAAATTGCCATATTAATCATATCATAAATCTCTCAGCCTGTTTAAGCATTAGTATAGATTTGTTAAGGATCATTAGAAATTGGCCATTTGTGGGGTGCAGGCTGAGCGAAACCAGAACCTTTCATATTTGACATTGGCAGTAGCAACATAATAAAGTGTAGTACCTGACATATTGGTGGAGTTGAACTGCTTGTAAAGTTTGGGTCGTGCTGAGCTGCCATAACCGTAGAGGAGCATTGACCAGCACCAGTGACTTTAACTCCTGGAATGTTTGGCTTTGTAAATGGATCTGCATGTAGGGGGGTCAATTATCCCTACTGGATACTTCTTCACATCTTTACTGCTGTTCTGCTTGGGTTCCTTTTAAAAGTACAATTGCTTCATTGACGGTCACAGCACATGCAATGGCAGGGAATTATGTACAGTAAAAGTGTCAGTCAGAGTTAGCTTTGTTGCGAAATGACACGTGTGGCACCGAGGGGGGAATTTGATGGGAATTTGTTTGTTCATATCAACAAATGGCAAGATGTGGCCCATAAATGTCCTCACTTGTTGAACGATAATTGACTGTAGATATGCTGACTCCACACTGTGGTCATAATTCAAGGCAGGATAAGGATAAGTAAGCCTGTTGCATAAGGGAAAGCAGTCTAATTGAGGTTAACAATATGTATTGAAACTGGCTTCTTGTTTTTAAACTTGGAAAGTGTAATAAAATTACATAATAACCCAACTGTACTTGGAAGCAATTGTGAAAAATAAATGGATGTTTTTAACTGAGAACAGTAGTTCCCTTTCAGTCGGTCACTCTAGACGTCACGTTGGTCCTATTTGTCAGTCACCGACGCGAACCGAGACCCCCCCCCCCCCCCCCCCCCATCTGTGACAATTTAAACGTATCTTTGGATAGTGCGGCTTAATCTTTCCCACGTTGTTTTTGTAATATTTTTGTATCCATTGACAGACACTAAAGCGTTATTGTTGCTGTAGACTTTTCCTCATTTCTCATCCAGACATTTGCCAACAGAATTATGCCTTCAGTTATATTAGAAAAACAAATGGAAATAACTGTACAAATAATGTAGTAACACTTTACAATAAGGTTCATTAGGTAACATGAAATAACCATGAGCAATACATTTGTTACTGTATTTGTTAATCTTTGTTAACGTTAGTTTGTTCATGTTAGTTCACATTGCATTAACTAATGTTAAGATTTTAATAGTGTATTAATACATGTTGAAATTAACATTTACAAAGATTAAAAATGCTGTATAAGTGCAGTTCATTATTAGGTCATGCTAACGAATGTTAACTAATGAACCTTATTGTAAAGTGTTAGCAATATTGTTTTGGTTTGATGTTTCAAAGCTACTGATGCTAATAATGTTTGTATACCAATGAAATTACGAAAACGACAAACGCTTTGATCATAGCACTCAACGTTCTACCTCACAGCTGAACCCGTGGATGTGCTCAAGGTCTTAGACTTTAAAAGTTCACCTGAAGGAGTGAAGAAAACACAAGGCTTCTGCACCATCCGAAGAGGATCCAAACCAGATGTGGCCTACCGAGTGGACAAACAAGCTCAACTCAGCTCCCCAACCAAGCAGCTCTTCCCAGGTACATGATTTATGCTAAGCTGTACTCTCATCTCTTACTTTTAAATAGAGTAACTGTTCTGGTTGGGCAAGGCTGTGAATCAAATGTAATTGGTTTTCTCTTGCAAAATGATATTTTAAGTTGTTTATTTTTTCTCTTTGAAATGCATCCAACAGGAAGTACATAATGTAGCTTGACCGTCTCAGTTAAATGCATTTGGACTGTTTACAATGCAGAAGTCTGATGTCCAGACCTTGATGAAGGAATTAAAGGGATATTTATTGTTCTAAGGAAGAGTCGATTAAGAAAGAGAGAAAGCTCTTTGGCTACTGTTTTGACAACATAGGCTGATAAAATGTATCTGTAAAATAACGGTAAATACTGGCAGCAGAGTCACCAGCAGTCTACTGTAATTCTAACGTATGAATACTGTGAAATTACTCTACAGCTTATTACCATAAAAAAATAAATACAGTATTTTCCAGTATTTTTATTTTATTCTACAGTAAAATACTGGCAGCAGAGTTGCCAGCAATATACTGTAATTCTATGGTATTAATACTTTATAATTTATATTTAATAATTTACTGTAAAAAAAACATGCAGTACATTTCTGTGATTATTTCAATCTAAAAAATGGGAGGTAAAAACAACCCAATTTGGGTCATTTTGGCAACACAGCTCTATGTCAAAAAGGGAACCCCAAAATAGGTTGGAAATTAAAATCACATAAAATTACTACAGTAGAAACACAGGCAACAGTAATAGGCTAATACAAAGGTGAACATGTATTTATAAGCAAGAACACCAAAAATGTACAAAAAAAATTGTAAAAGCAATGTGAGCATTTGTAAGAAAAAGTGCAGACACGAATACAAAAAATTGTGTACGAAATTGTGTTTTAAAAGTTTAATAATCAATAATGTTTAAGAACAAATTTTACCAGTTATTTCGTTAATTTTTTTCTCCCGCCCGGCGCCCGCCAATCAGGCTGAGTGCCACCAAGAAATATACAGTCTGAAAGCCTTAATAAACACTGAAATTTGGGAATAAATTATAGTGAATCGACAGGATTTTACCCTTATGCGTTTATAATCACTCACTTCACTCTCAAGCACTATTCCGGCTTGTTCAGTTCCAGCTCATCGTACCGTTCGAGTGATTTGGATGTGAGAGAAAACACTCCAAACAAAACTTCCAGTGCTCCTCACTGTAGTCATTTTCAAAGTACTTTCTAGGGATTTGAAGTATCAAATGTTCAAAACACAAGTTAGTTTCAGGCACCACTTTTTCAGTGTCAGTTCTTCCCGCTCGACACAGTCACGGGTCCAGTTTTAAAAGAACGCGGTCCTCGCTGCAGTCAGTTTCAAAGTTCCCTCTCCTCTCCTCTCCTCTCCTCTCCTCTCCTCTTTGATTATTTTTCTTCTATTTTCCACACATAGGCCTGTTCCTGTCATAAGCGCCTCGAACACGGATAGGAGACTTGAACTCAAACTCCTGTGAAACACCCGTTCAGCGCCATTATTCTATTGCTTCAAAATTGCACTAGCCCACAATGCATTGTGTACTACAGTACAAAACCGTAATACAGTAGATTAGTGTTGAAAATGGGCTGTAAATTAACAGCAGTTGCTTACCGTGAAGAATATTGCCCACATGCCCAAAATACATTGTTTTCTACAGCACATTACTGTTTTAATGGAAAACAGAATGTTACTGTTAGAATTTGGCCTTATTTTTAAAAGCAGTTTTCTTCAGTGACATTCGATTCACTGCATTTTCCAGTTGAAATGAATACAAGCGGCAGTAAAACACCAAAGATGTGCTCAGTCCACTAAAAGAGCTAAAGTAAAAAGAAGCTAAAATGGCACAGTTGCTTTAGCAAATGTGTCTTATCTTACATTTACCCTTGTTAATACTTTCAGTTAGGTTTAGGGTTGGGTTTAGTGTAGATGGTACATTATTTTCAAATGCCATAGAGCATGAACATTTTAGCAACATTCACCAGATATTTCATTTCCCAACCAATATAATAAAACATAGCCAAAAAGTGTTTGAAAGTTTCTTGTAATTTGCAAAAAAGTAACGTAATATCATATCGCAGAAATTTTGCCGCTGGCACATTTTCCCAATGAGCCTGGGTTGGTTTTGACCAGAGTGTTTCTTGCTAATCATCCATGACTAGCTAAACAAAGAATAAGTGAAAAGATCTAAACTGCTGCTAACTGGTGCTAACTGTAGCCTTAGCCCTATAACAGAGGCTAGTACTGTATGTTGTTTGTAGAGTAACAGAGATGATGAACTATTACTTATTAAAATGATGGCTATTTGACATAGTAATAATCAATAAAAAAACAATGTGCCATATGTCCCCTGCATGGTAAGCACAGTTTTGAGTAAAGTTTTTACTAATGGGATGTTGAAAATATCTCATTATTTTCTCAGTTTATAACAACAACATCATATACATTTACAAGTTTAGTCCTATTAAGTTGGACCCTCTGTTCTCTGTGTGTTGGGTATCTTCCAAATTGGCCAGACCACAAAGGGTAACTGAGGCACAAAATAGCAGGAGATTAAATTAACAATTCTTTTTTTGTGATTTTTGGCTGAAATAAAATGGCCTCCAAACCCTATGGTTTTAGGACTGGAAATTTCAGCTAAATAGTATGTTGGCAAGAAAAAAAAAATATCCCTCAAGTTTGGCAACGAGAACAGCACTTCAGATAGCTATAGATAGTTTGCGATTTATTTCCACCCTATTGCTCATACAACCCATTTGATTGTAAATCTGTGATGTGACCTGACACCTTGTAAAGTTAACATGCCAACAGAAAAGACAAACTGTTTCATACTTCGTTAAACTACCCTCAACAAACGATCTTGGGTAGGGGTTGTTGTAAAAGGGCCATTGCAGATTACAAGGCCTGTTTAGATCACACTACACTGTCTGATAGTCTTAGCTCATCTCTGCAACAGAAAGGAAGACAAGCATATGAATCATCAATAACAGCTGATGTTTAACCCACAATGTCTTTCCTGTATCTTCAGGAGGAGTATTCCCTCAGGATTTCTCCATCCTTATGACTATCAAGCCAAAGGCAGGAATACAGTCCTTCCTTTTGTCGGTATACAACGAGCAGGGCATCCAGCAGCTGGGTGTGGAGGTGGGCCGCTCGCCGATCTTCCTGTATGAGGATCAGCATGGGAAACCCGCTCCTGAGGATTACCCCCTTTTCCGTGCAATCAACCTCGCAGATGGAAAGCAAGTTGACTCTTTATTTGTATTTTTTCATAAGTGTTTATTAATGGGCCTTAGCGTGTGTGTGTGTGTGTGTGCGTTGGTGCGACCGGATTATGAGGACAAAAACCATGGATACATACCGACTCTATGAGGACATACCGTAACTACGAGGACAGCACTAGTGTCCTCATAAGTCGAGCAGTGTAGAAAGGCTTATCAGGCTGCGCCTAACCACCTCCCGCTTTTTCTCAATATGTCCTTATAAATCCGTTGTACCCGTTTTTCAGTGTGTGCCAGAGTATGCTCAGAGTGTATAATCTCCCTCTATGGGAAATTCGACGCTACTGCAGTATCATACACATTTCATACACCCAGACCACGCCCAAGCGCGATTCATTGGTGGAACGCTGGAATCCTCGTCAGTGATTGGCTGCTGGAATCCTCGTCAGTGATTGGCTGCTGGAATCCTCGTCAGTGATTGGCTGCATTTCACATCCGTCAAAGTCAGCGCGCCTGCGCCTCTGATCTTCTATCGCAGACGTGTGGTGTGACCGTGTGATTAATCAGAAGATTAATCATCATCATGAAAGATTAATTAGCAGAATTCGAGCGAAGTTGACGAGCTATAGTGGGAGATTTTCACTTTATCACGAGGAAGGTAAGTGCGTTTATTTATATATTCTACCTTTATGGAGTTAAGTGTCATGAGTCAGACAGTTTTTAATAACGTTAGTTACATTACTTTAAACGTGGCCACTAAACGTAGCTAATATAAATCCATAAGCAGTTGGATACTAGTATTAGTATTAGTTGATGAAAGATACATCTCCATGGATGCTTGAGAGAATTAATTTACATTTTGAAATAAATCAAATCTATGTTGTCATCATGATGACTGGTAAAGTTGAGTGGATGAATTTACAGTTTAATACAGTAAGATACAGAAATATATTAAATAAACAGAAACGAGACTAATGTAAAAGTATACTTTCATTAATGTAACGTTACTGTCATTAGAATGACTTGCCAAAATTATCTGGTTGATTCATTTTAGGGCTGGATATTAGCAGACATTTTATGATTCCATTCAATTTTAATTCACGTGCTTTCGATTCTATTTCCAATTCGATTTTACATTTATTATTTTAATGTAAATCAGGTGTAATACATGTAACATTTTCTAAAACTTTCTCTCTATAGTTAATTTTTCTAAGTAACGAGTTTAGCTTCATTTGATCTGAGGCGCCACATTAAAGAGTGATAAAATGGACTAAATTTGAAATCGGAGACTGTTTCTTATCAAAAGTAACAAGCCTCAAAACCTCACTGATCAACTATTTCTGTGTAAAATGTTGTATTTATTGATATAGTCTACAGTCTGACAATAATGTACTGTATATAAAGCATATCTATCTATCTATCTATCTATCTATCTATCTATCTATCTATCTATCTATCTATCTATCTATCTATCTATATATATATATATATATATATATATATATATATATATTTATAAATACATACTAATTATGTTGTCTGGAATGTTTTCAGTCAACATGTTAAGAAAGAAGAGAATAAAACCTGAGCAGGATGCAAAAGAACACATATTGTCGGGCAAAGACAAAGCCTTCATTGAGGGACGACAAACACCACAAGGCAATTTGACTATGTTCAGACTGCAGGCAAATCAAATCATAAAGTAGGCATGCACTTGTAAGAATGAAAAGTAGGCCTATTGCTGGCAGTCTGGACATGATCTTTCACATTCACACATTTTACCCTTGGGTAAGCCGCTCATTTTCATAAAGGTTAAGAGATGAAAAAAAAAACTTTAAACAATTTTTTTATAATTATTATTTTAAAATAAATACATAAAACTATGTATACAGAGAATAGTGTAACCAAAATCAACTAGTAGGCTATATCGCAGTGAAAACCAATGCTTGATTATTTTTTTTATTTCCTGCACCTCATATTACGTTACACAGTTTTACAGGATTTAACTCTTTAAAAGGATAGGTTGGTTAGCTGTGTAACATATAGGTGCACTTGGATTCATGTTTTATTTGTATTATTATATATTATTTTGCCCTTTCAGGGAGAGGTGTGTTTGCACTTGAGCACATTGAACCATCCACCTTTGTTGTTGAATACCGTGGGATTCTCTCTCAAAGTAAACATGTTAAAGATGTTCAAGGCAACTACTTGTTTGACTTCACATGGAATGGAACACGTTATTGGTAAGCTGGCTGTTTCTTTTTTGGTTTATTTATTTTTGGTTCATATTCAGAGCAAACTAGTTGCATGTCATTCTAATAAAAACAGTTATAATTATGATTTATTATTATTACTATTATTATTACAATATAGGGCTGCACGATTTGGGGAAAATGTCATTGTGATTATTGAGGTCAATATTGCAATTGGAATATGCGATTGCGATATAATAAACAAATGGTTTCATGAGTCAACTTGCTTGGTTCTAAAGCAAAATGCACACACAGATTAGTGATAATTCTGAAATGTGTATTTCTCAACTCAAACTAGCAACAACAACTAAATGATTGATAACATCTAAGCCATTGATGTCTGGATAAAAATTAATCCACCCCCATTTAAAACATTAATTATAGCCATCCAACATTACAGTGATTCCATCATTACAATTGAAAGCTATAATTTTTTAAAAAACATTTATTAGACGTCAAAAAATATAACAGCTTTTAATTTAAGTGACCTTCAAATAATCCTCACATAAACCCATTATAAATGACATGTCATATTTACCTGTGCCCTTCCTGTCTAACAGGTATGCAGAAATTTAATAAAGTTATCAAACAGTCTGCGACTCTGCGCTGCATAAATAATAAATAGACTAATCCTTATTAAAGCTACATAAGTTCTTTAGTCAAGAGCAGTGAGTAATTTTCTCTGTCCCCTTTGTTCTTTGATTAACTTTACTGACAGAAAGCTTTGGCTGCCGGCCCTTTAAGAGCAGCCGCTGCTGACAGAGACACGGATCTCACATGCGCCTCATCCTCTCACAACTCTATACGTCCATCATAAGACTGCTCTTATGTTATGAAGATACTCGACAAACGACATTTTGGCATAATTGTGTGTGTTGTTGTTCGTTCAAGAGCGAAAGAGAACTGTATTCTGGCGCGTGTCTTTCTGTGAGTCACAGTCGGACATTCAGCGCGCTCTCTTTTGACTTGTCTCGCATGAATGGTTTTAAGCAATCGCATGAGAGCATTATCATGTAACACTAGCCAAAGGATGACAAATAATAACAGATGCTGCGTTAATTGCGTTAACAGCCCATTGTTTATTTTACATAAAATCGCAGCATTTTGCGCCATATAATCGCACAGGCTTGACATCGCGATTACGATTGCGATAAGATTAATCGTGCCGCACTATTACAATAGCAGATTTGCTAGGGTTCTCATAACATTAGGAACTTATTAGTTAGTGATAATCAATAACATGGTTATTGTTCAACTGGGGTATTATTTTTTTTACCTTAAGTGGATCATCTGACCTATTAAATTCTTAGGAAGTCAAGTTAACTTTCACAATGTGTATTTGAATATAGGTTAAATAGGCCAAGGTTAGCCTAACCCAAATGTTCAGTTAGAACCGTATGTTTCAGTGTGTGTCTATGTTTTAAGTTTCTTACTGCACTATTTTTATCACAGCATAGATGCAACAAAAGAGGACGGTGGAGGAATGATGATGACAAAAATCCAAATTGCAAAGTCAAGACAATCATTGTTGACGGAAGGCCACACCTGTGTCTGTTTAGTATAAGACATATCTTTCCAGATGAGGAGGTCACATACAACTATGGGGATTCCTCTTGGCCTTCGCGTTTAAGGGTGAGTCTCTTAAAGACTTTATCACTGAAAGTCAACCATGTTCTGTATTTCATGAATGTTAGTTTTTTATATGATGCAGATTATTAAAAAAAATTCTGCACGTCTGCTTTGTGCATGACGGAGCCATGAAAGGGACACTAGATATTTAGTCTTTGGTTGATACTAGAATTAGTTGCGGTGACCGATTGGCAAGCATCCTTGCCTCAGTGTTGTACCTGTCTTTCTCATAATTACAGGAATTGTGTGACGAGACATCAGTGGCTGTGACTGAATGCAGTGTGAATCCTTCCTCATCAGTGAAACAGAAAGTAAGTGAGCGCATGTTCCTTCATTGTTTTCTTCTCTTTGACACAGGCAATGTTAAGTGTAGGATGGTTGGGCATCATGCTAGACTGGTTGACGTGGACTGTCGTCTTAAAGACGCTGTTGTGACGTCTCAAATTCGAGTAAAATGTACATTGCTCGGTTCATACATTTTCATAACTCGTGCGTTGGGGGATGGGCATGACACTGACCTGAAATATAAGGACAGTTCTCCACTACGAGGACCATCATGTCAGGGTTAGGGTTTGTGGAAAAGATGTTGCTTTGGGTACAGTTGGTACTCAAGAATAATACTTTTACCGCCGCCGCCCCCGCGGCGGTAAAATTCGGATGTGTATTTGCTGCCTTTTACCGCTAAGAGGCGCTACAATCAAGGTGTCAGTTTATTCTCTCTATTGCGTAATCTACCGCCGCGCCGCGACTCATTCAGAGCGATTGAAAGCTGGTAACAGATGAATTCAAGTGAAACATTGTAGTTAAACGAATTCATAATCGCAATACTGAAATTAAATTGAATAAATAGTGAAAACATTACAACATAAAACATTGCAACAGAAATATATTAGGCTATCAATGAGGGTCTGGAAGAGCATAAGACGTAATTTAATAGCGTTCAGACGGTAGCTCAGTGGTTAACGCAACAACATGAGCCTCACGGAGCTTCAAGCGATCCGAGATCGAATCTCAATGTAGCCAACTCATCTCAATGTTGGCCGACTTTATGTTTTACCGTTCTTGATGCTTAAATAGGTAACTGTTTATTAGCGAGTTCATTAACTGTTTATTTATTTAATGTCAAGCGTTTTGTTTAAT